GTTTGCTGCAAATTTTTGAAGGCAAACTGCCAAGTAGTATACAAATTATAATGGCTACCTGTGTCCATGTGTGTTAATATTTGGTCATTCTTTTGTTTGTAAAGATAATTCTGTTGACAAGGAAATCAATTTAATGTACATGTAACAATATTTATAAACTGCCCCTCAGCATGGCCATTTTACTTCCAACATTGACTATTAAATTTTATTTATTCCGTTTAATTCAATAATTTTGGAGGCGATCATCAGGCAGCAAGAAAATAATCACAACCAAAAGGCGCTTCGTAAAGGAAGTTTGCTCTCCTTGTGGTACATGACTTGTAGCTTTCTTTCTAGAATATCACAAAATTATTTGTTAACTCTTCAGCTGCTGTCACAGTCAGTGGTAAAGTCAGCATAATTTCAATTCCATGTTTTTATTGCAGGTTGACAGAGAATATAGAATACTGTCTGCCTTGCACAGTGTTTCATTTCCAGTTCCCAAGCCTTACTTGTACTGTAAAGATGTTTCTGTTATTGGTACAGAATTCTACATTATGGAACATGTCACAGTAAGGTCTTAATTTTGTTATTGTAGAGTTTTTAAGAAGAAATTATATATACTATTTATTACTGTGCTGCTATCTGCTAAAGCACTATTATTGTGGTCAGTGTGCTCTAGCTGCCATGTAAGTTAGGCCTGGGTTAAGGGACATATTTTGATAGAAATTACTCTGATGGAGCTGCACTATAATTTACAGTTAGAATAATGTAATATTTTATTCATGTTTAATTACGTCTGACTGATGTTTTGATTGACATGTAATTACCTTGGACAGTAAGCTTGGCGTGGGAACATTTTGTACTAGTAGGCACAGCACTACAAATGTGCATGCTGTTTACTGACAGAGCGAGAAGTTTAGAGCGTGCAAGTTGATACTTACAATGTATATTATTAGAGAGACTCTAGAGAAATGTTTCTTTAAAAAAAAAGTTGATTGATATTTTTCCTTTAGGGATGTGTATTTCGTAAACCTTCTCTACCCAATCAGTCGACGGATGAAAGAAGAGCTATCTACAATGCCATGATTACTACCTTGGCTAAGTTGCACAGTATCAATTGGAACAATCTGGGACTTTCTGATTTTGGCCTTCATACCAACTACTTAAGGAGGCAGGTAATGAGTGAGCAGCTTTGCTAATTATTTATTAATTTAACTTTAGAATAAGTTATTGTGTGGCCTACCCTAAATTTCATATTTTAAAAAAGGGGGAAAAAGCAATATTTAAAAAGCCTCAATTCTTAGTTACTCAGGGATGAGGTGTACAAAAGACAGATTGAGTAGTGGGTGCCCTCTGTGTGTTGTTTTTGCAAGATCAGCCAGGATACTGGCCGTGAGTTTTATACAAAACCAAAGAGGCTGTGACCTTCCGTCCCTATGGTCCACACAGTACACTGTAAATTTTATACTCCTACCAAAAAATGAAAAGAAAAGAAAATCAAAGTCTTCTATGAGCCAACTTGGGAACGAATAAATTAAATATGCATAAATTAATTTCTCAATTACAGCCCATCAACCAACTGAGTGAAATTTGTCCACCAAATGCTCTAAAGACCTCTAAACCGTCCATTGTATTCATGAGTTCAAAATGTTTCTGATGGCTTAGATCTCGGTGGACTGAAACTAACAAGTGCACTACCACACTACGACAACAATTCAGCGCTTGATCGTCTTCCTGGGCAGCAAGCGGCCACCCTCGGGGAAATGGAAAGTGGCTGCTTAATAGGGGTTGCCCGCTTAATAGAGGTTTTATTTACAGTGTTATACTGATATTACGACTTTGATAGCTGGCCGCTTAATCGGGGTTGGCCGCTTAATAGGTGAACGCTCAATAGGGGTTCGACTGTATAACATGTTCGACTGCCGTTTCGCTAATTGAAACATAGCTCTCTCACAGCTGCAACCAATCCTTCAGAAAAGACTCAGTTTTCATGGGTTTCTATTATTAACAAAACCAAACTGTCTATAGTTAACAGAAACAAGCTCACAACTTACACATTTAACCCGTGGCCTTTTTCAGATTTCTAAAGTCAACTGTGTTAGACGCCTATTAACAAATTAAATCATATCTTGAAGTACTTGTATCACTTTCATATACCGACTGCAACAAATTAATCACAGAGACACAGGCAACCAACGGTATACAACATCAGGATTATTATACGAAATAACGTGTTTTCCGTTTGCTAATTGAGTGTTCGAAAATCGAACATTCGATTGCGTTCGATTGACCTACAACTTTTTTGTGAGTTCGATTACATGTATGTTCAATTACCGAACTTAATCGAACTTAATCCATGGATTGAGTTCCATTAAGTTTGATTGCGTCCGATTAAAATTCCGTTCGATTTCGTTCGATTAGATACACCGGGCACAAAACTGCCACCAGCTATAAAACTAGGTGAATTAGTGGAATGAACTTCACGACAACTTGTACCGTGGACGAAGCGTGTTGTACCACACATAATTTTGTTTTCTTTCTAGGCTTCAATAACACGATAAACCAGATCTTGTAACGCTAGTGTGACGTTATTCCTTATGAGTTTCAAATGTCCTTCCAAGGCTTCCATTCATTTTCGGTATGCTTGGAATCCAATAATTATTAATTAACTGCTAGTTAATATTATCTCATTCCATCGTCTCCCTAAATCTGTTCACGAAATCACGGAGTTGCTGGTATAAAGACAGTTATCCCGACAGCCAAAGAACCATACATTAGGTCAAGAAACTCCAGCAGAATGTTACGGCTTCCCGTATTTCGATTTGTCTCTGTCACTTGAAGTATACATGAACGCTTATCAGCGTAAGTAAACATACGCGATCTCACTTGAGGTCTACTCATACTATGAAAGTATGAACCCACCTACTGAATGAAATTTTTTTATCAGTTATTTTGATTAGTAATATTATCTTATGCTAACAGTTACCTTTTTTGCCTTATTTAACCTGATATTTCGCCCGCGAACATGTACAATAAATAATATTGATCTCAACCCGTAAGCCTTTGCTGTACAACTGATCTTGTAACGCTAGCGTGACGCCACTGAATTTCTTTGCTCCTGTTTAATAAGACAGCGAAAAAATGTGACAAGGTCAAACTACAGGACGTGCGTGGTATGCAAATGTGTTCTCAAAGGATTAGGAATTGTGAACATATTTGAGCTATTGAAAGAATATAATCCTCTCTCATTGTCAATGCTTCAAACGTCCTGCACTGTTCTCCTAACTCTTCAAGACCCTTGAAAAATCCATTTGAAGTTCGAGTTGTAAGCGGTAAATTACCCAAACACGAAATTTTACGAATCATCTCAAGTCTATTTGTTGTTCATTTATTTCAGTTGAAAACCTAGGTGAACAAATGAAAGAAGCTTGAAACGCGCCATTTATAACTATTTCTCGATCTCGATCGATCCATGCCGCTCGAACCCCCAGACCCTCCCCTCTCATAGGCGTTTTGCTCCACCGATCCCCACCCCCTGCATCCAACTCTCCACCCTCCCCTCTCACCAAAACCGCCCCCATGGGTAAGGAAGGTGACCATTAGATATCGCGGGCTCAGCCTCATGAATAATTTAATGTATAAATTAATATCCATGGATTTAATGCATTACATTGAAGTTAACAGAACCGACCTCACCAAGTGAAATTTGTCCACCAAATGCTACAACTTGCTCATGCGCATGCGCGCATTCCCAAGTTAAAAAGAACAGTATTTTAAAAGCTACAGCTTGCGCCACTTAGGGATCAGGTGTTGAAAGATCTAGTGATTTTCCCGGTTTGAAGAGCCTGTTGACAGATTAGACCAACAATTAATTTCATTTTGCTGCTAACGTATTTGATGACTTGATGAAAGCCGGAACCTCTAGAACTCAATTTTGTAATATGCTGCCCTCTATTAAGCCACCTACTTCGCCAAGATGGACTGAAAAATAAGTTTTCCTTAAACATTTATTTTAATGTGCATTAGCTGATTTATTAAAGTGCCCCTGCAATCAAATTGTTGATATTCATGTTTTTACATTTTCGTGTACAATATGACTTTCTTACTCATCTTGCCAAATTTCAACCCATTACGAACATAATTATAGAAGTCTATTTTTTTTTACTTTTATTTCCAAGAATTTATGGCTGCCATTACTTGACCTTATTCCAAGGCTTCATTGTGAATTAGAGAAAGTGACGTCAAAGGCTCAAAAAATACCTCACAGGTTGAAATTATAATTATTATTAGTATTAGAAAATTCGTTAGGAAGAGCAACAAAACTTTGGACTAACTTGTTCTTCGTTCTTGTTCTTCGTCCAAAAAATAGACTTCTAATGTTCGTAATTTTTGGATTGGCAAGATATGTAAGAAAGTCATCTTGTACACGAAAATGTAAAAAAAAATGAATATCAATAATTTGATTAAGCCTCCCAGTGAAAATGTTAACCATATTTTGAGCTTGAGTTTAAGGTTAACTACATTGTATATTGATTTGTTTTAAATTAGGTATCAAACGTGGAGAAAGCAGTACAGAGCATTCAGAAACTCAACGGATTAGTGCAATGGAAAATCTAATATCTTGGCTGGAAAAGAATGTTCCTCCTACAAACACACAAAAGACAGGTGACAATAAAATATGTAGCTCATATCCCAAGGATATGCACTATGCACAGTAATTACGTACAATCATGTATTAGCATCAAGGAAATTCTTATTGACTTCAAATATGCAAGTCACAAGGTATAACCTGGATGGGATACATTTTTGGGTTGAGGGGGAGTGGTACATGAGTTTGAAGTTCTTCTGGCCGATGTTTGGATTGTCTATAGTTGCTATAGTTACGTGACTGAGTCTTTTGGAGTGAATAGGGATGTTTGGCACCTGATCACACTGGTAAAGATGAAATGATTCTCACAGAGTGTTAATTAGCAATTTGCATTATTATTATTGCTTTTTTAGTCTGGCAAAAAAATTCAAGGCTACAACAGGATTCAAATCCATGACCTCCACCAAACCAGTGTGATGTTCTATACCAACTGAGCTATTTAGCCTGAAAAAATTTCGAGACCAAGTTAGGTTTCAAACCCATTACCTCCAGGTTACCTCAGTTGGATCGCATGAATCCCATTAGGGACTGGTCAAAAAGTATAGGGTGGGGTGGGCCGGAAGCAGAGAGGGGGTGGGTCATCAGTTTTTGAGCCCTTAGTAAGGGGTGGGTCGTTCAATTTTCAGCTACCCATGGGGAATGGGTCATCCTATTTTATAACAGGAATAGACACACTTAAAAAACATAATAAAATATTGTTTTTAACAATCGAAGGCTTGATTCTGCTGGAAGATCCTGGTCAGGAGCAGTTGGTCACACATTTGAAGCGGGGCAGCTTTACTGATCTGCAATCTATTTTTGTACATAAAACACATCTAGCCGAAAATTATTATTATAAAAAACCTCTCAAACCTCTTTTGTGTCTTTTTGTATAAAACGTAATTTTATATAATATTTATATGAATGGGTTTTTTTTTTGCATTTCATTGCTGTATTGTTCCATCTACAAGACTACAAGTAAAAGGCAACTAAAATGAATTTTGGATTATCACCGAGAACCAGGAGCCCCATTACCCGGAGCCTCCATACGTACTATATCCTTGAGTCAACCCTGTCCCGTTTCATTTTATTTTTAGAATTGTTCTCCCGCGAAATTATCTTGTTTCCGCTGACCGCTGACGTCCCCCCACTGAGGACCAAAAAATTAAAAAAAAATGGCGGCCAAATGGGGGAATCCCACTCTTGGTTCCTTCGTCCGTTTTCCTTTACAATTTCACGTCCGTTCCTATTCTTTTACAACCCGAGGGAAACTGGTTGTTTAGCTGACTGGAAGTTAATAAAACAACTTGATTGAACTGAAAGCGAATGAATGTCATCTTGAACAAAACTTTCATCATTCGATAGTTGTCTTGGTCTGTCTTGTTCGAGTGGTGTTCTTTGTGTGGTGTTGTATTCATTGCTACATGTATTTCGCCATGTAAGCCTTTCGAAATAGATTCGAAATGAAGCGCTTCTGTAGAGGATTCGGGTCTTTCCGAGATCCATAGCAGTAAAACAGGGAAAACCTTAGCGGCTAATATTTGGATTTCGGCCGTCGTGGAGGCAAATGGCGAGCTCGAGCGGTCATGGCAGCGAAAAACACGATACTAATGTTGTACCCGAAGTGAAAAATGTGAAGGATATCCAGCGAATGGGACTCCAGGAAAAGAAAGCTAGCAGGTTCTGCAGAGAATAATAAGGTGACAGGCCTACACGACTACTACAGCTCGTGACATTTCATTTTGTACATTTTTCTGTTTCTCTATTATAAATTTGGTTTGCTTGGAAGGCGGCTGCACGCCTTTCAGAGATGGAAGGCGGCTGCATTGGCAGGTTAGGTTTGCTTCAAGCGTGTTTCTAACGCGCAATATATGTTTTATTATGAGGAGGATTTTCGAGTAGAGCCTTCGACTGTGTTACCACTTCTAGAAAAATTGGCTCAGAGGTCATGGTTTTTGATTTCCTGTCAGGCTTCCGTCCTTTACGAAAGCTTACAAATAATTTGTTTAGATAGATGCTAAGGTCTAAACTCTAATAATAAATGCTAATAAATGCTAATAAATGCTAAATGATAAATGATAAATCTGTCGGAAAGAGAAATCGTAACAATCTGAACTTTCACTGTCTTTCACTCGATTCCGCCATTATTATCGCTGTGAGCTGAGATCACCGGCGTGTGACGTATAACAATAACTTTGTTCTGATTGGGGCATTCTAATGAGTTGCGCGGGAATCTGTGAGCCCCCGCGGTGTTCTAAAAATAAAATGAAACGGGACAGGGTTGACTCCCAGGATCAGTATGGGAGATGGAGGCTCCGGGGTGTATGAAGAACAAGCCTTGCCCCTCCAGTCCACAATCCAGATTTTCCATACAAATCCTTGTACCATGGCTTGTACATGGCTTGTACATGGCTTGTACATGGCTTGTACATGGCTTTGTATCATGCGCTTGTGCATTGTATATATTTTTCATCTTTGTGTAGTTTTTCATTTTCATTATAAATTGCTGATTAAAAAATCTTACATATTAAATTTGTTGTTCCCATTAAACACTCGCGGTATTAGGACATGGGATCTTTTAAAAAGTTGAAAGAGTAATAATTGTTCATTTTTAGATGCTTTTGTATTCTTGGTTAAGAAATATAAATCTAAATGTAATTCAACACCACCTATCAAAGTTCATATGGCAAATATGGTTTCAATTGGATTATGCAACCAAAAATTTCAAGGTGTCATAAAGGGAGTGGGTCGTGTAATTTTCAACCTTCATGTAGGGGTGGGTCAACTCAGTTTTGTGCCAAAAGGAAAGGGGGTGGGCCATGTGTTTTTTATCCACCACATTTTCCAAATGCTCTGGCCCACCGCCCCCCCCCCCCCCATTACTTTTTGGACAGTTCCTTATAGCCCTTAAAATTGTTCTCAGTCTAAAGAAGCTCTTGGATGGACAAAATCATAAAAACCTGTGTACTTAGCCTTCACTACAGACTTAATAATAATAAATAATAATAATGATATCTCCTCTTTTTTATCGGGGCAATTATATTTTTTTGTGAATTTTGCTCCTAATTTGATAATAAATAAAAATTATTGCTTCTAAACTATTGATTATTGAAACATTCAGTTGTAGTTTCATGGGGATTTCAGACTGGATAAAACCTGATCATTCATCCCACTAAGGTATGGTGTGTTTGTGTATAAACAAGCACATAAAGTCCCAATCTCAAAAATAAACAATTTTTTATATCATTTTTATTCTCTTGATTTACACTTGTAACAGTTGTTAAACCATTTATGTTTACATCTAGCTGCCCCTTGATGATTGATTGGCTCACACCAGTTTGTGAAATCTGATTAATTCATTCATCAACCAAAGTACCTGTCGTGAGAATTATGTTCCTTGCACTTTAATTTGTCTTGGCTACACAAAATGTTCTGGTTAAGCATTTAACACAACTTTTTCATTTATTTATTAACAGGTATACCTACAAGTGTGACTGGTAACCTACTCCAAGTATCTTGTGGTCCTCACCTTCCTTAATTTTACCATATTTGTTTAGTTAGTTTAGTTCATCATCAGCATGTAGTCCTTACAGCCACGAGCATGTAGTCCTACAGCACGAGGCATGAGGCATGTAGTCCTACAGCACGAGCACGTTAGTCCTTACAGCACAAGCATGTAGTCCTACAGTACGAGCATGTAGTCCTACAGCAACGAGCATGAGCATGTAGTCCCTACAGCACGAGCACAAGCATGTAGTCCTACAGCACGAGCAAGCATGTAGTCCTACAGCACGAGCACAAGCATGTAGTCCTACAAGCACCGAGCATGTAGTCCTACAGCACGAGCACAGCATGTAGTCCTACAGCACGAGCATGAGCATGTAGTCCTACAGTATTGCGTTTTAATTATATCATTGTGAACTGGCCAAATTACTTTGTTAATTTGGGCACATTCAATTAAAGATTAATTTAGACAAGTAAAAAATTAAATAGTCAATCATTCGCATGCTTGTATGATGGGGGACTTTGGGCTGACGATATAATTAAAATTATGATGCCAGTTGTGAAACATACATGGGGCATGTGATGGGTTGGGACCAAAATGCAGTAAGAGGTAGGACATTCATTGTTACTGTTTTGTCAATGGTTTGGCTTCTGAATATTGAATATTGAAATTTAAGCCCATTTACAGATCTACATTAATAGTTTCCAGGGGGGGCAAGCTATACCTCTGTATTTTGAGTAAAAATGACTGGGACAGGTGTAATAATTACATGTAATCTATATATATTTTAATTTTTATAGTATTATGATATTAATACTGCACTTGTATCAATCAGTTTTGTTGTGACTGCTGTGTTAGTGGGGGACTGGGAGTTATCCACTTCTGGGTGATCCACTTTCTTGACCTGGCCTACAGCTGCTTACCTTTATCACTGGCCAAAGGAACTTAGCTTTGTTTCTAAGTTTTCTTTAGGTATAGTTAGCCAATGAACTTTGTGATTAAAAACCCATTGACACCTGGGCTTTAAAAAAAACCCGGCAATCTAAACATCACAGATGCCTTTTTCTGGCCATTATCATGACTGTTTTACTGCCCGACTGTCTAAAACTTAGTCTGCAACATAGAAACTAACATCCCCTTCTACTTGAAAGCAATTCAATAAATTCAATATTTTCCTTGGGCATTGCGCAGAAAATCAAAATTTAGACAGTTTTTGAGCCGTGAAAAAACTCACCTCACTTCAGGTTTTGAACGAGAAAAACACAAACTTAGGTCAGGCTTTTCTGTTTTTGTTTTTGTTTTTGTTTTTGCATTCTCACTAAGTTTTTCTACACTTTCTTTTGTGGTTTTGTTGGCGTTTCAGTCGGGCCTGTGTTCACATTGTAAAAGTTTCCACCTAAACATTGGGGAAAGAGAAACTTTTTAACAAACAAAAGTGTTCAATGGTAGGGAAGTTTTCATCATTTTGTGCTTGTTTCTAAAGGCATGCTTTGCAGGGTTCGATAATTCTGTTCAATTGAATTAGTAGCCACCGGGCTTTAGTAACCTTTAAAACCTACAAGCCCATTTTTAAGCGACAAATTTGTCACGCAAACGCGACCTTCCTTCAAGTTCAAACCCTGCGGCATCGGATATGGTCGAGAGAAAAGGTGCTTTTGACATCGATAATGTTCTCTATTGATTTGCGTTTGCTTTTAACAAAATCTTTACATCTCTTGTCATTAAAACATTCTCTATAAATTTTCTACTTCTCCGACGGACTACTGCGAACATGCAATATTTTACTAGCCCCGCTGCATTTTTTACTAGCCTTGGGCGACCGGGCTAGCGGAGATGTCAAACCCTGCTTTGTAAGACTTAAACTGTAATTATAAACAGCCAGAAATAGGCATCTGGGATGTTAGATTGCCATTTATCGGAAACAAGCCCCAGGTGTCAATAGGTTAATATGTTACTTTGTG